ATTTTTGACAACTTCTATTTTTCCTTGATTCATACCTCATACATTCCATGTTCTTATTGCTAATAGATGCTTGCAGCTGTTTCTTCCCATTTTCAGTCATCTGTTAGTTTTCCATTACATGGTGGCTTATATATTGCTGTGATGAAGCTGGAAGGTATACAACTGGCATTTTAAATACCTGCAAATCACCCATGATGAACAGATGTCAGTTGAGCTTCCAGACTAACACAGAGACAGACCTGGTGACCAGCTTCTGGAAAAAAAAAACTGGTGACAACTGAATGTCTGATTTAGTATAGGACGGTGAGCCCTTCAGTTTAGAAGGCAATGAAAAAACTACTGGGGAAGAGCTACTTCTTCAAAGCAAAGTCACCTTAATGATGTGGATGCAGTGACACTTTCTTTATTTTTAAAAAAATCATTTTATTGGGGGCTTGTACAACTCTTATCACAATCCATTCATCCATCCATTGTGTCAAGCACCTTTGTACATTTGTTTCCCTCATCATTCTCAAAACATTTGCTTTTTACTTGAGCCCTTGGTATCAGCTCCTCATTTTTCCCCTCCCTCCCTGCTCCCCCCTCCCCCATGAACCCTTGATAATTTATAAATTATTATTTTGTCATATCTTACACCATCCGGTGTCATCCTTCACCCACTTCCCTGCTGTTCGTCCCCCAGGGAGGAGGTTTTATGTAGATCCTTGTAATCTGTTCCTCCTTTCTCCCTCACCTTCCCTCCAGCCTCCTGGTATTGCCACTCTCACCACTGGTCCTGAAGGGTTCATCTGTCCTGGATTCCCTATGTTTCCAGTTCCTATGTGTACCAGTGTACATCCTCTGGTCTAGCCGGATTTGTAAGGTAGAATTGGGATTATGATAGTGGTGGGGAGGAAGCATTCAAGAACTAGAGGAAAATTGTATTTTTCATCATTGCTACACTGCACCCTGACTGGCTCATCTCCTCCCCGTGGCCCTTCTGCAAGGGGATGTCCAATTTCCCACAGATGGGCCGTGGGTCCCCACTCCACACTCCCCGTCATTCACAATGCTATGATTTTTTTGTTTTTGTCTTTGATGCCTGATACCTGATCCCTTTGACTCCTTGTGATCTCATAGGCTGGTGTGCTTCTTCCATGAGGGCTTTGTTGCTTCTGTGCTAGATGGCCACTTGTTTATCTTACAGCCTATAGGACCCCAGACTCTATATCTTTTGATAGCCTGGCACCATCAGCTTTCTTCACCACATTTGCTTGTGCACCCATTGTCTTCAGTGGTCGTGCCAGGAAGGTGAGCGTCTCAGACTGCCAAATTGTTAGAACAAAGTGTTCTTGTGTTGAGGGAGTACTTGAGTAGGGGCATTGTTTCCTTAATACTAAACCTATAAATATATGCACATAGATCTATTTTCCCCTCATTATATATAAATATATTTACATCTGTATATGCCTGTTTTTAGATCTCTATAACTGTCCTCTATTTCTTTGTACTTTCCTCTTGTCCCAGTATCATGTTCAGCCTTCATTTGGGTTTCAGGAATTCCTCTCAGTTACATTGTCCTTGATCCAGCCCTGCCAGACCTCCTACACCCTCCTTGCCACTGATTTTAGATCACTTGTTGTTCCCTGGGTTTGTTAACACCCACTTCCTTTCACCTGCCTCCCCCTCTCCCATGTCCCTCTGGAACTATCATCCGTTGTTCTCTCTTCCAGCTCATTTATCCCGCCTATCCCTTCCAGGTAGACATGGAGCGACAACAATATGCACCATCACAAGACCAAGTTCAATGAAACAACAATAAAAAATAAAACAACAGCTACAGCAACAACAACAAAGCCCTATAAATAGTTCAGGGTCTATTTGTTGTCCTTTACAAATGCTTTCCAGACGAGTCTGATGGGGTGCCATGCCCTGGCCCCACATCTATCCCTGGGCACAGGGAATACATAGCCTATCAGAAATCGGGAAGGACACAAACACAGAGGAGGCACAAATTGACCAATGGGATATACTAAATATAAAACACTTGTGTACATTGAAAGAATTTGCCAAGAGAGATCACAGAATGGGAAAACAGCTTTAGCAATGACACATCAAACAAAGGCCTTATTACTAAAATCTACAATACTCTGCTAACTTACAATGAGAAAAGAACCAATGGTCCACTCAAGAGGTGGGCAAAGGACCTGAGCAGGAGTTTCTCAAGGGCAGAAATCCAAATGGCCAATAAATATATGAGAAAATGTTCCAGATCTCTAGCCATAAGAGAAATGCAAATTAAAACAACTATGAGGTGTCACCTAACACACTCAAAGATAGCCCAATTGAAGAAATCAGAAAGTAACAATTGTTGGAGTGGATGCTGAGAGATAGGAACTCTTGTCCACTGCTGGTGGACCTGTAGGTATGTACAGCCATTATGGAAGTTGATTTGGCAATATCTAAAACAATTGGAAATTGAGCTACCCTATGATCCAGCAATCCCCCTACTGGGCATATACCCAGAAGAGACAAGAAACAAACCACGGCCAGACATCTGTGCCACAATGTTCATCGTGGTGCAGTGATACTTTCATTGGCAGATGTAGGACAACTCAAATGCGAACCAAGGAAGAGAAGCTGACAAGGCTGTTCCCCAGCTGACACAGAGAAAGGGAGCCTTCCTTCGAATCAGTATTCTGAATTTGAATTTACAGGCTGTTCCCCAGCTGACACAGAGAAAGGGAGCCTTCCTTCGAGTCAGTATTCTGAATTTGAATTTACAGGCTCCTAAATAGGTAGTGGTTATGCAATGAGTGGGATGCTAATTGCAAAATCAGTAGTTCAAAACCACCAGCTGCTCTGAGGGAGAAAGATGAAGCTTTCTCCTCCCATAAAGATTTGCAGCCGTGGAAACCCACAGGGGCAGTTTTACTCTGTCCTATCGGATTGCTGAGTCAGAATCAACTGGATGACAGGGAGGTTTTATTGAAATTGAGATGCCTGAGCTGTGAGAAAATAATTTCTGTTTGTTAAAACAACCCCCTTGTAATAGTTCTGTTATAGCAGTACTAGATAGCTCAAACAGTCTTAGCAGTCTTACTTATCTTGTCTTTTGTGGATCTTGTTTTTGAGAATTCTACAGTTGTCTTTAGCTTCAATGGTTCTTCAACAAAATCAAATAATCATTTTAATTTTCTTCTCAGCATTCTAATTTTAGTTTCCATAATCCCATTCCCACACCCCACACCCCCAAATACTGAATTGATTAACTGTGCTAGGGCACAGGCCAAGCTTCTGTAGATCTTTCCAATCTAATATATATAAACCAAGGCTGCCAGGGAAGGCCTGCCCTGCTTTAAATGTGGCCTCCACGTCTGCCTCTGAGGCATGTTGTCTGGTTGTTCCCATTTGCAGACCGTGGGAAGGAAAAGAAAGTGACGCAGGCTAAATAGCTGTCTTGAGAAAATTTGATCAGAAGGTGCACGCTCCACTTCTGCTTGTATCGGACAGTGTAACTTATGGCAAAACTATAATAAGTTGTGAATTACAAAGGGTTCATGAGGGAGGGGGTGTTGGGGAGGGAGGGGGAAAATGAGAAACTGATTAAGGGCTGAGGTGGAGGGCAAATGTTTTGAGAATGATGAGGGCAGCGAATGTACATGTGTGCTTGACACAATGGATGTATGTATGGATTGTGATGAGAATTGTACGAGTCCCCAATAAAATAATAAAAAAAAAATAACTTAGATGGCCATCTGAGAAAAATAGGGCAACCATGTGGTCAGCCAAAACTGGGGTCTTGAAGGATATAGCGTTTCTTATTGCACAGAGAAGATTGAGAGTAGGTACTAGGAAAAAGTCAATAGTATAAAACTGGGGGCCATTTATATGTAAACCACCAATCCATAATTTCACTTTTAGCATAATTTTTGTTGCGTTAAAATGAGGATTTCTTTCTAAATTATTTTGCTCTGTTTAATATTATGGTATACCATACTGTTAAATGTACGTATTACTATTTTCCAATGCAATGTATAATAATAAACCAAAAATCTCTCTTTCTGCTTTTCTTTTTCAAGACTTTCTTTTCAGTTCCTACTTTACTGCAATATTTTTCTTTTGGAGTTTAAATATTTGTTATTATTCATTTGTCAAATCATCTACACTAATAATACCCATGCAAAAACAAACCCATTACCCTCAAATTAATTCCAACTCACAGTGACCCTATCCACCTCATCGTGAGCTACATGAGGTTTCAAAGGCTTTACATATTGATGAGAACAGATGGTCTCATCTTTCTCCGCATGGAGTAGCTGGCAGGGTTGAACCATTGACCTCACGGTTGGCAACTCCATATTTAGTGCACAGTGCTACAGGACTCCTTTACTGTAAGCAATTGTGAAATCTCACTACCTGCGGAACAGCCCTCTACTAATAACAAACAAACGCCCTGTGGTCGAGTTGATGCTAACTCACAGCGACCTTATAGGACAGGGTAGCACTGCCCCTGTGAGTTTCCGAGACTGTCAGCTTGTATGGAGTAGAAAACCCGTGTTTCTACCGTGTACCGTGGAGCAGCGGATGGTTTCAAACTGCTGATCTTATAGGTAACAGCCCAACAAGTAAACACCACACCTCCAGGGCTCCTAAAAAGAATGATCTTTTTTTTTTTAGGCTTTACTATCTTCTAGGGACACTCTTAGATTTTAATTCTCTCCAGTGCAAGCTATGTTAAGTACTTTTATCATATCCTCATTTCACATATGAAGCTGAAGCCTAGAGAGGAAAAATTGATTGTTCAATATCAATTGTTGTGGAATCCAGGGTTCAAATCTATGTGTATCAGATACAAAGTCCTGGCTCTTAACTGCTACATTGCATTAACCTTCTATCTTTCAGACTTGCTATAATAATTTTCTAAGTTCATCATTTGTTTTCTAATTTTGCCTCTGATAACTTGTTGTTTAAAATCATAGTTATATGTAGCAATATTAATATATGTTATTTTTAAACAGTGGACAGAATTACTGGTCGGCCCTGTATTGATTTTTTGGATGATCCTCAACAGTGGAATGCAAACTACACATTGAGCAACATCTTACTTTCCCTCCAGGTAAGAACAGATTCATGTAACACTCTCATGAATACTTTCAATTACTCCAACTGTTCAAGCCATAAGGCATGAAATGTACAAATATATGTAAATATTGAAATTAGTCGAGTGAGCTTATTTTAATCATAACATTCTGTATCAAAACGATCAAATTTGAATGATGACAATTATTTAAAAGAGAAGTTGATAGGGCTCTTCATAACTGAAGCACACATAATTTATAAAAGAAAAATCGTTGTTTAGACTTTTTTTAAATTCTAGAAATGTTGTTTATTTCTTGGCTTCCAACTCCATTGCTGAATATTGAACAGGTCTTTTGGACTATTTAAAGGTTCAGTGTGATCCTTTGATTTTGACAGTAGGTCTGGCATTATACATTTTCATATCAACCCCCAGAGCCATTAAAAGTAGGTGTCTATTTCTCCTTAAGGAGGTGCCTGTTTCCAGAATGACTCACTGGGCCCACTGCCCTCAGGACCATGCCTCGTGGTTGTGTTTCTCGTGACTCTCAATCAGCTGCCTTTCTCCTCTGATACTGAAATATGTAAATGATCTCAGTCATGCTCTTTGACCACTTCTATCCAGCTCAACATGAATCTACTTTTGAGTTTATTGATTAATCACATGCAAATTTAAAAAATGCAACATTTTCATTACCTGGAACTGTTTGAGAATAATATATTCAGGCTTACTTAAATTTGATCAGTCCCCTAAAATTATAATACAAATTCAATTTTTTCCTTTTCTTATTTTGAAAAGCAAATTAATTTTATTTTTAAAAAGACTGATCTTCTAATTAGTCACCTGAACAAAAAAAAATTGGTCTTCTTAAAAGATGTAACGTTGAGTTTATTCATAAGTTAGCAAATATGAGGATACACGGAACATCTGCCCATGACGGGTGTTCTGAGAATGAGATGCTCAAACAAAGACTTAAAGGCAGTGAGCGGCATGGGCAGCGGAGCCATAGTCTCATCTCTTCCACTAGACTAGTGTCTGACACAGAGGAGTAAAACACAGAATTCCTCAAAAATGGAACGAGTGAGTGGAAGCCAGAATGAGCTGCTACAGACTGTGCAGGACAGAGTCGTTTAATAAAGACAACACTGGGTCTCTGAGATTAGAGTCCCGAGCTTCACATCTGGGATCTTCCACATAATATCTTTGGACTGTTGGCTAAGTTTCTTCACATTGCATACCTCCACTTCAGCATCCATGAAATGGGCTGTTCTTAGTAGCTAACTCACATGATTGTTGTGAAGGAGGAAAGAATTAATGCATGCAAAGTACTTCAAATGGAGTCTGACCCAAGAAATGAACTCAATAAAAGCTAGTTAATATCAAAATTGTTATTGCTATTTAACAGCAATGTAAAATGACAACAAAGTGTTGTTAATTAGATCATGCAAGGCCAGTGGGTGACATGGTTGCTGTATTTTTGAAGCACATTTATAAAACAAACATGCCTGCATTACACAAGATTTTTAAGATAATGGAAGGAAAAGAACATCACTTAATAAGCATAAAAAACTCTAGCCCTACTGTTATTAACATTTCCTTCTGATCTTGCCTCTTGTGTTTCTGTTTAAAATCCTTCTGTGGGTCTCTCTTTGTCTACAAGATTAAGTGCAAATTCCTTAGCATGACAAATGATAATCTACTTCTCCTCACACCTGGGCTTCAGACACTCCCTAACACACCATGCAGCCCACTCCTATTTATAACCCCATGCTTCTTCCCCTTTTCTTGTTCTCTCTCTCTCTCTCTCTCTCTCTCTCTCTCTCTCTCTCTCTCTCTCTCTCTCGCATGGCTCAGTTTAGTTAGAGTCCAAAAACATTTTTTAACATTCTAGATTCTAAAATTACAAAGTACTCAGCCTGGTGCCCTGTCTGACTGGCAACCCATTTCCCGTGTCCTTCATCCTCAGTCTGTCTGGCAAGCAGCTGCTCCCAGGGTAAAGGTCTGGTCAAAGGATCCCCCCTCTGGGACTACTTTTCTGATTTTTTTTTTCTTAAATATAATTGATGACTTTTGGGAGGAGAGCAGGTATGTTAGTGTGGGTGGAATAGAGAAACAAAGCACACTCAAATATGTGTAAGAGAGAGCTTGATATCAAGAAGTAATTATGCATCAACAAAACATCCCAGCCCAGTCCAATTCAAGTCCGTAAGTCTGATACTAGCCCTTAAGTCCTCTTCAGACTCACGAAGCCACATGTAATGATGCAGAATGCAGGAACATCACAATTGGTGGGTGCAAAGTCTTGTGGATCCAATGGCAATGGACGCTTCTCCAGGGCTTTGCAAGTCTTCAACAGAAAGGTGGCGGAAGGGGGGTGAGGGGGCACCTCAAGCGATCCATTTATCTCGGTGGCACCTCCGAAGAAAGGTCATAAAGCTGCAACCTGATTTATGACCTGGGATAAACACTCCCATATCTCTTTATGGGCGCCATGTTGGCACCAAAAAAGCTAACTAGGAGGGTCAGGGAAGCTTCCTTTGACGCCTCCCCGATGGGACACTAATCAAACTTCTATCAGAGCACTTGAATACTGTAATATTGGTGGTGCAACTGTAAAGCACTTGGCTTCAACCAAAAGGTTGGCAGTTCGAACTCACTCAGTGACCCCACGGGAGAAAGACCTAGTCATCTGTCACTGTGAAGATTACAACAGAACCAAGACGAAGCTCCACACTCACTGCCCCTGAGTCGGTTCCACTCACCATGGCCCTATCGGACAGGGTAGAACTGCCTCTGTTGGTTTCTGAGACTGTTTGTGGGAGGAGAGAGCCTCATCTTTCTCCCTTGGGACTGCTGGTGGTTTCAAACAGCTAACCTTTTGGTTAGCAGCCCGACATGTACCCACTATGCCACCAGGGTTCCTCACAGTAGAAAACAAAACAAAAGACTCCACGGGGCAGTTCTACTCTGTTACATGGGTAGCAATGAGTGAAAATCAGCTTGATAACATCTAACAACAGTATTATTATATGTACGTATTATAATGTATGTATTATTTTCTCACCTGACTTCTCTCACATTTACCCAAGCTCCCTGAAGTCAGGGGACAGATATAATTCATCTTGGATTCCCTGGTACCTACCCAGCATAGGGCTGACATCTGGTAGGTTCTATAGTAGATGTTATGCTTGGGGCTGCTAACCACAGTTTGGAGGTTCAAACCCACCAGCCACTGAGGGGAAAAGATGCTCCTTTAAGGAAGTATAGTCTTGGGAGCCCAAAAGAGCAGTTCTGCTCGGTCCTGTAGGCTCCCTGTGAAGTGGAATTCACTCAGTACCAGTGGGTCTGAGTGAGAGTTAAAGGAGCCTGAGCAATGCAGTCGTTAAATGCTCTGCTGCTAACCAAAAGCTCAGAGGTTCGATACCACCAGCTGCTTTGAGGGAGATAAAAGTGGCACTTGACTTCCATAACATTTCAGCCATAGAAATCCCGTGGCACAGTTCTACACTGTCCTGTAGGGTCTCTAGCGTTGGAATCCAGTCAATGGCAGTGGATTTTGGTTTGGTGATAAGGTCTCTAGGAGTTGGAGCTGATGTGACAACAGTTAACACCATGTATCAAGTGAGTAAATGAAGGACCCTACATTTCTGCATTGTTGCAATTATGATATATATGTAGATCGATGGCTCCTTTTTCTTTTCCTTCTTGTTCTTTGATAGCCCTTTGAAGGTCAGTGCTGCCTAGCAATGTTCTGAATAGGTGAAAGTGTTTAATATATCAGTATTGTCCAACGCAGCAGGCAGCTAGTAGCCACACACAGCTACTGAGCACTCAAAATGTAGCTACTGCAATGAATTAACTACATTATATATGGTTATACATAACTATGCAAAAGTAAATACCAGATCAATGCTCATGAACGGAATGAATTCCAAATTCATAGATGTGTTAGGCTGGATTGTTTAGAGAAACAAATCCAGTGACACTCATCTATGTATAAGAAAATAAACGATGTATCAAGAAGTAATTCAATATTAAGAAGTCAGCCCAGCCCAGCCCATAAGTCCAATGCTAGTCCACAAGTCTCTCTTCAGACTCACGTAGCCACATACAGTGATGCAGAATGCAGAAAGATCACAAGCCGGTGGGTGTAGATCCCCGTGGATCCAAGGTTGGTGGAAACATGGCAGGCACCGGTAGTTCCCCAGGTCAGGACTGTTCGCACAAGCAGGAAGGCGAGGAGGGAGAGGGAGAGGTGCTTCCCGGGGCCCTCCTTATGACAAGGTCACTCCACCACCCTGCCCCCACCCCACCATGGAGGCATCATCAGGCTGTGACCTGATAGACAGGTCAAATTCCATTGCTACAATTTCATACATCTTTAAGCTACCATAAATGTATCTAAGTACCATGATGGGGCTTTACTTAATTGGGTATTATAAAACATACCTCCTGATGCTGTTGTCTCCAGGGAGTCCTGGTGGCACCAGGGTCCAGTGTCTGGCTGCTAACTGAAAGCTCAGCAGCTCGCACCCAAGAGCCACCCTGAGGGAGAAAGGTGTGGCAGGCTGCATCCACAAAGACTTCCAGACTTAGAAACTTTCTGAGCAGTTCCACTCTGTCGTATATGGTTGCTGCAGGTCAGAATATGGACCCTTGGTGGGATAGTAGTTCCATGGGGGCCTCCCAACAGCAAGGTCAGCAGCTGGAAAACAGAAACCACCCGAAGGAAGAAAGGTGGGACTTTCTATTCCTGTAAAGAGTTACAGTCTCAGAAACCCACAGGGACAGTTCTACATTGTTCCGTAGCAGCCCCATGCCTCAAAAGAGATTGATATCAGTAAGTATAAATAAGTCAGAGTCCATTCTGAGGCAGTGGGTAGTTGTTTACAGAATTTTCAAATTATTATACTTATGCCTTACCATTTTATTACATGGATATTATAAAATTGGACTTTAAAAAAGAATTTTAACAGTGTCTGATTTATATTGTTCCATATATGCTTTATATTACTAAATGTTAAAAATCATTAGATACAATTAATAGCTTATGAGCAATTCTACAAATTGAGCACAGTGGTTAATGAGATTACTGAATAAACATTACCAGATGTGACTCTCTCCATGTGATTATCTCTCCAGCCAACAACCAAAAACTTGCTCATAAAGATAAGTTTTCACCTACCCAAACTTTGAAAGGGAGCATGCAATCCACACCAAATTTACCTGATGAAAATATCCTCTGAAATATTGGAAACCCCAATGTGTTTTCCAAGTAGGAAAACTCAAGGAATGGCAGAGATGGTCGAATGAAGTATCTTACTATTGCTCTTCTCGCCAAGCCTGTGGAACTTCCACCAAATGACTGGGCGGGACTCTGCAAGCCAGATGTGTTTAACACTAACAGAGAGGACGGGCCCGTTTTTGTTAGAAATCCCCTGCTATAACGATGAGCCATCTTTGAGGCAGAAATTGAGAAACACCAAGGACCTTGGAAGAGAACGTTCAAGTTCTCGGTCTGAAGTAGTGAGGCCACCGAGACCACACGCATGTGAGATCATGGCACAGACTCCGAGGAGCTGCGCCAAGACTGCGGGGTACTTTCTCCTTACTGGCCCGTCTGTAGATCTGTGGGACAGAGACAGGCAGACTGCCTTCCTGCCAATGGAGGCAAAGTCCAAGGGACCACGTGGCTGAGAGGTTGAGAACCTCAGAGAGACGTGGCTTCTGGCTGAGGAGACCAATGATTGGATCCTTACTGTTTGCTGATCCTGACGTGTAGGAATCCACTGCTTTTCTTAATAAACCCCTTAATTTTCAGTATTGTCTCTGAATTTCTGTGTGGCCACTGCAATGCATTATAGAAGCCAGCATAGATGTCGAGAGGCCTGGGAGGAACTGTGGGAGGTGAGAGTAGGTAACGAACAACGAACCATGCAGGCATGTCTGCCCCCTGCCTTGCAGCAATAAGGAAGACAGAGGTCAGATATGGCCCTCTCTTGCCACTTATTGCAGCAGAAAAAATATTGTTCCCTTTGAAGTATTCCTTGTCAGATACTTGCTTCTATAAATAACAAATTGCTATGATTTGCACAACTCTTAAGTCATAATTGCCTATTTTGGTCTGTGTCGACACTTGGTTCATGGCAGATACTTATTTTAAGCATACTTTATTATGCCATTTACATGCAAGATAACATGTAAGATTCAAAATACTGAATTATTAGATCATTACAATCTGACAGTATTAGTTTTGAAGTGTCAAAGACAGGAGACCACGTGCCAGCAGAATGATTATATTTCAGTTATCACTTAGAGAGCTGCAGATACTGTAGAGCATAAGTTCCCAAACTTCTTTGACCTACTGACCCGTGTTCAGGGAAAAAATAAGCACAACAATTACTAAGCTCCCCTTGCCAATGAGAAACCTTTGTACTTTAGCCAATAATCCAGGATAAGATGTAGGCATCTGCTTTTGCTCTGCCCCTGGATCATTCAAGTGCTGGCTCCCAGGGGGCAGTATCACCCACTTTGGGAAATGCTGCTGCACTAGGATTCTAGATGTCCACCTGAGAGTCCTGTACCCACCCACACTTCATGATTCTTCAAACACTGGCTAGGGAGGCTCTGAAAAGACTTTGCAGATGGAAATAAGGTTACGAATCAAGCCCTTAAAAGCAGAGGAGGAAGGCAGAAGAGGCAGTCTGGAAGAAACACAGTGAAGGCTTAGAACAGACACGGCGATGGAAGTCAGGGACTGCGAACGGGCCCTTGTTGGCTCTGAGGTGGAGAGAGCAAGGGCTGGACATCTGGGAGCCAAGGGGCCTCCCTGTGGCCAGCCAGCACAGAGATGAGGACTTCACAGTTGCACAGCTGCAAGGAGCTGAAATCCTCCAGCCTTCTCAATGAACTCAGGGGCCGATTCTTCCCAGCGCCTTCAGGTGGATCCCAGAAGGCCAACATCTTGCTTTTGGTCTGGTAAAACCTGGAGCAAATAAACCAACCCCAGCCCCCTGAACTCCCGGCTGACAGATGTATGTGATAATAAATTTGTGTTGTTTCAAGCGGCTACATTTGTGGTAATTTGTTATGGCCACAAAAGAAAAGTATAATGGATACCAAATTCATCATTTCCCTGCCTGGAGGGATATCAAAGTGTGCCCAAGCCTCATTACCAGAGACTATTTAACCAGCACCCAGATGTGGTCTCATATTAAAATATAAGGTTTTAGGCTTTAACTTAAGTCCTGTAAATGCTGTAATGCTCTCTGCTATTTGCTTCCCTTTACACACAAATCAGTTGTAAACGTATGTGATAGGAAGGAATGGTTTCTAGGAAGGCACTTGCCTTGATCCGATGTTTGTGCTGTGAACATAAGTATAAAGCTAAGAGCAATCGAGTGTTTCTTGGGCATAGGGGCCATGTCTCCTTTACCATTCTTACAGAACACGCATCGGTGCAATACTTGTTCAGGCTGCATTACTGTGTAGTCTTTTTGCTCTAAGACAAAAGTTAACTTGAAAAACTGGACATTGTATATTTTTTCCCAATAGGTTATGCTCTCTAATCCAGTACCAGAAAACGCAGTGAATGTGGAAGCAGCCCAAATGCTGAGGACCAATGAAGCGATGTACCAGATGGCAGTTTTCAACTTTTTAAACCCACAATTACCAGGTGAGAAGTCCTACTTGAGAAACTTGGGCAACAAGACAAAAGCAAGAAGTGCCAGCTTGTTCTTATTTACAGGAAATGCATGATCTGGCCAATAACTGTTCTGAAAGAGAATATGTCTATATCTTCTGCACCCACTTTCAGTAATGACATGGTTCTAAAATCTCTCCCACTGTCAGTCTCTGCCAAGTCAATTAATGTTACACACACACACACACACACACACACACGGAATTTAAAGCTCATCAGAAACCATCAACATGGAATCTTTAGTGATCTTTAGTGATCGTATGGATGGATGCTGACAATTGGAGAACTGGAGCAAGTGTACCCATCACAGAGGAGAACCGGAGCAAGTGTACCCATCACCATCTAATTTGAACTCTTGGATCTATAATGAGTATTTCTCAGGCAACACTCATAAGCACCTCAGATCCTACTGATGTAAATCTCTACTCTTCTTGATTAGCAAACATGTTCATCTTTCTTCTTCTCCTCCTGCTCCTTCTGCTTCTTTTGTTCCCTCCACGGGCATTCCTTCTAAGTATCCATTAGAAATGTAAGGTTCTGAAGCCTTTCCGTTTTTTCTCCTCTAATGAGCCCTTGGTTTGCTCATTGTTCATCCTTTTAGTGGCCTCTTTACTGCTAACTCTGTTGCCCTGTGTTCTCTCTCCAGTGAGTAGAGCAAAGCTATTGGCTCCTTATATCCAAAGAGGCCTCCCACAGCTGAGAGTTAGGCCCCTAGCCATAAAGGTCATTCATTTCTAGCCTGCCCTCTCCTCCCAGGAGTGCACAGCCCCCTTGCATAGCAACTTCCAAGTCTGCTGGCCTCCTGATCAAGCTCCAAGGAGGTGTGACCTAATAAGCAAGGTAGGTCAGCGAAGGCTAACTTGTGCTTATGTACTAATCTGTAATCCATGCCTTCATATGCTTTGTTTCACCACGCCGTGAAACCCAGGTGAAATTGTTCACTAGAGATTAGTAAAGTAAGCCCGTGCTTACCCTGCTTTCTGGGTACTCTGTCCCTGTCAGGGGTTGTAAATTTGAAAAGAGGCCTTGATTCTTGAGGGAGGGGCTGTGGGGTGGAGAGAGACTGATGCCGCCACACTTAAAAGCAGGATCTTTGATGTGGTGAAAAAAATGTCAATTGTTCACTACAGATTAATGACTAAGCACACGTAAGCCTGTGCTCACTCTGCTTTTGGGGAAATCTGACACTGTCAGACTCAACCTGCCAAACTGATCTCTCCAGGTGCTCTCTTCTCTCGAATGTCCACTGTCTCATTGGACAGGCTTGTACAATAGTGACGGAATTCAAGCCCTCTTCCACAGAGCTGCTGGGTCTGAGAGACCTCGGGGCTGTTAGCCTCCCGTCTCTCTTGGTCTCCCTGAGTTGTAGCGATGGCTGCAGGGTTCCTTGAACTTTCCCTGGCAATTTTGAAGCTGGTTTATACACAGAAGCAGTGGTACAACCTCACACTGACTGTGTTAGTCTGGGTAGACGAGAGAGACAAATTCATAGAGACAGTCATGTGTATAAGAAAGGTCTTTATATACAAGACAACTGAATATTGAGAAAATGTGCCAGTCCAGTCCTGATCAGGTCCATAGACCAATTTGAGCCCAAATGTCTGATGTCAATCTTTAAAGTCCTCTTCACACTCACGAAACACATGCAATGACGCCAAATGAAGGAATGTCACAGGCCAATGGATGGAAAGTCTTGTGGAGCCAGTGGCAGTGGAAGCATCTCAGTGGTGGCAGCGATCTCTATATGGATCCTCCATCTCAGGACACTAGCTAGCTCCATGTGTCTTGTCAGCTGGAATGTCTCCCAGGGAGTGAGTCTGTATTCCACCTCCAGCTAGCTATTTATCTCCATGGTGCCTCCAAATGAGGTCATCAAGATGCGACCTGATTGACAGGCTAGACTCCACCCCTTTATTCTTAAGTCTCAAATTGACAACAGATTATGTAACTACCGCACTGACCCAATGGCTGACCTACCCATATATGATAGCAAATTTGGATCACTGCTGAAGTCCCGGAGCTAGAAGAGTACTGATACTCAGCAGATATTTGTGGAATTACTGACTGACTAACAGAATGACGCATATCATTTGACTTCTTTTTTTTAACAGTGTTGTTGGCATTTAATTCACATACAATGTAATTGAATGGTTCAGTCACGTTAATAAGAATTGTACAATCATCACCACAATCATTTTAGAACATTTTCTTCATTCTTGTGCTCATTGTGAATCCAGTTAGTGTCTCTCTAGATTTACTTATCCTGGATTTCATATACAGAAAAACATTTAAAAACAAATACACAAAAACTACAAAGGAGAGCAGATGAAAAAATCTCAACAGAAAAGAAGGCAGAAAACATTAAAAAGTAGTGCAAAATTAAATGGATCAGAAGGGAGATCAAATAATAGGGTGATAAATTTTAACCTAACTCAATCTGCAACAAACTCCATTTCCAACATATGATGCAAGTTAGAAAGGCTCTTCTTATCCCTTTGGTCCAGCAGGATTCACCTGACCGAGGCTTACTCCATGTGTATTTCCTTCATTTTTTTAAAAAAATGAAACAGCTTTAAAATGGGTCCAAAGGGAGACCTCTCCTCTCAGGGCTGCCCCATCGTCCACTCCCCGGGGACAGCAGCCCTTTCCACTGCCGCTCTGAAATTGACCACCATGTGAATTTCTGGGTTTCTATGACAGTATTTTTGGGATGCTCAGTTTTAGAAGTCATTTGCAGACTTGTAAAATACAAAGAGTCTGCTCTTATACTGCCATCCTCACCTGTACTCTGCCTCTTGCTTCCTAATAGGGTTAAAGTATCATGTTTGGTTGCTTTATTATGACTGTATAAATATTCTTCACTGGTGAGCCACTTTTCTTATACAAGGATCATGATTTTTCATTTCCTTAATTTTTTTTAACCACCTGTTATTCGCCTAGACGTTTTGACAAATCTGTCATATTACTCCTAGATGCTCAAACACAAAATGTTCAATCAGTTTCATTTTATTACCCCCACCCTACCCCATCCAATCCTGGAGATTTCTTTCCTATTTTGCTCTACTCCTCTCCTTTAATTCAAGGAGCCCTGGTGGGATAGTGGGTTATGCATTGGCTGTTAACCCCGAGGTCAGCAGTTCAAACCTACCAGTAGCTCCTTGGAAGAAAGATGAGGCTTTCTGCTCCTGTAAAGATTCACATTCACCAAGCCCTGAGGATGGTATTCCTGCTTAGAGCAGCCAATACACAAAGAGGACCATAGGGCTCACCCCACCATGAGACACATACTGACCCATAGTGCTTCAAAGGACAACACTGGAGGCACAGTGTGGGAATTGTGCTCAATCTGACCCCACCACACTGGGACGAAACGCTAAGGTTGTGAAACAGAGCAGCAGCAATGAAGTCCCTGGGGGATACAAAATATAGACTTTGGGCCAGAGCGTGTCACCCCATCAGACTCCACCAGAAAACACTCCTAAAGGTCAACAAATAGACCTGGAACTCTTTTTTTTCCCCGTCTTTTATTGTTGTTGTTTTTGTTGTTTTGTTTTCTTTTGCTGTTTTGATTTGTTCTGTCTTGTTTTGTGCTTATTATTGTTTCTGCATGTCTACCTAGATAAGATAGGTGGGATAAACAATCCGGAGGAGTAAAGAACAGATTGATTCTGGGAGAACATGGAAGAGTTAAGTGGGTGTTAACAAACCCAGGGACAAGGGCACAACAAGTGAACTAAAATCGATGGTGAGGAGGATGCAGGATGCTTAGTAGGGCTTGATCAAGGGCAATGTAACCAAGAGGAATTACTGAAACCGAATGAAGGCTGATCATGATAGTGGGACAAGAGGAAAGTAAAAGGAAATAGATGAAAGAACTAGGAGACAAAGGGCATTTATAGAGGTCTAAATGCAGGCATGTACATATGTAAATATACTTATATATAACAATAGGGAAATTGATCCATGTACATATATTTATAGGTTTATATTAAGGTAGCAGATGGACATTTGGCCTCTACTCAAGTACTCCCTCAACACAAGAACACTTTATTCTAATAACCTGGCATTCCGTGATGCTCACCTTCCCAGCATCATTGCTGAAGACAAAACGGGTGCATAAGCAAGTGTGGTGAAGAAAGCTGATGGTGCTCAGCTATCAAAAGATATAGCATTGGAGGGGTCTTAAAGGCCTGAAGATAAACAAGCGGCCATCTAGCTGAGGAGCAACAAAGCCCACATGGGAGAAGCACACCAACCTTTGTGATCATGAGGTGTCGAGGGGATTAGGTATAAGGTATCAAAGACCCAGAACAAAAAATC